AGAGAGAGAGAGAGAGAGAGAGAGAGAGAGAGAGAGAGAGAGAGAGAGAGAGAGAGAGAGAGAGAGAGAGAGAGAGACAAGATTGGTTGTTCAGTTCAAGAAAGACGGTGATATCCATATCCGCCAAGAACGGACACAGAGAGAGACGAAGGAGGAGAGAAAGGAGAGACGAAGGAGGGAAAAGAAGCCATAGCCAGGGGTGAAGGTGAAGAGACGAAGGAGAAGAGAGAAGCCATAGCCAAGGGTGAAGGAGGAGAAAGGAGAAAGGAGGAGGAAAGTGAAGGTTGGTGAGAGAGAAGAGGTCGACAGCCATAGCCGAGTTGCGCGTTGACGGAGGCATTGACCGAAGAGTTGACCGGTGTTGACCAAGGTGTTGACCGAGGTGTTGACCCGTGTTGTCCGAGGTGTTGACCAAGGCATTGACTAGCGTTGACCGGAGCTGTTGACCACGAGTTTGACAAAGCTGGAGTTGGTATACTCTAGCCAAGCCCTCAGCCTAACCCCTCGCCCTATGGATGTGCACTCACCCCATGGTACTTGCAAAGTCTGTCTGGCTCTTCTTTCTGCATTGAGTCTTTTTTGTCCAGGTGATAGGAACGCCATGAATGTGGTCTTAGAGCTGCGTTGACTAAACCCACATGGGCTGAGTTGGGCCTAAGTCCATGTCTGACGACTGACTGTCCCGGAGGACAAACCCTCCCAAGGACCAGTACAGACAGGCGGGCGGCGCAATGTGGCATGGTAGGCCCAAAATCCGAGCTGTGGGCTGCACAACCAGCTGTCTAAGTCTTGAGAGGACTTGCTGATCATGTCGTCCTGTTTGCGACATTAAGGAATTATCGAGTTATGGGGGATCTCCTTAAATGCCTCCTGATCAGCATTGAAGTCCTGTAGTGACAGCCATAGCTATAGGTCCAGGTTAGAGACCCTAGTTGACAGGCATCTGAACCGGAGTAAAAGCCAGGTGGGTTGACCGCAGGTGCAGGGCATCTGGGTCGAGGTTTGTAAAGGACAGTGGTGGCGAAAGCTTCCGTCGGTTGTGGTAACCTGGCTGGAACAAAGAGGAGGACTCTGTGGTCCTTAGAGAGTCAGTTAGTTAGTTAGTCGGTAGGTGGAGGTCTAAGTGGTGAGGAGTGGAACTGTCACTCGGTTGTACATCTTTCACCATGATGGACACGCGTAGCGCTATGAGCACCACCCCATATACGAAAGAGCAGGAGGAGCAAGCCGCCGCTGTGTTGAAAGAACGAAAGGAGGAGTTGGCAAAGCAAGCAAAAAAGCAAGCCTTGTGGGAGGAACAGGCAACAAAGAAGAAAAAGTTAGAGGAGATGGAGAGATTGCAGAAAGAGGAGGAAGAAAAGTTGAAGGCAGTGGAAGAATACGAAGAAGAAGAAAAAGAAGAAGAAGAAAATATTCCCCTACAGAGAAATGTCAGGAGGGCATAAATAGGGGAGTCGAGTGGCACGACGGAGGAGGAGAAGAAGTTGGAAAAAATGGTAACTGAGTGGGTAGCCAATATATCCTTGGAGAAGATGAAGAAGCAATGATGCACATTCCCCAGGATGAGAGGGACGCAGCAATAGCCGAGATCCAAGCAATACAGGATCCTTTGCAGCGACAGGTATTGGAAGAAGAGAAGAGGATGGAATGGAAGTTGCGCCTTAGAAGACAGAGAAGGAAGCGCATCGAGGTGGCGAACGCATTCGAAAAGGAGTTGCCCGCCGCTGTGGAGCAGCATGCACGTTAGGCCAAGCAGGCAGATCTCCAAAAACAAAGTGGAGATCATAGGTAAGAGCATGGAAGTGATGATCCGGGCTCAACATGAGCAAATGAAGTTTTTGAGGGGCCATGATATAGCCCTGCAGTCCATGCGCGTAGGCTTCAGAGATTTTGCGCACGATATGATGACGAGCATGGGTACTGAAATGCAAGCCCGACTAACGAATATCGAGAGGTTTTATAAGGGCACGATCGAGGGAGTCAAGTTAGTAGTTCCAAAGGAGGAGGAAGCCCGCCCGCGTAGAGAGCCAGTGAAGGTTAAATTCCCTGACTCTGACAATTGGAATAAGGAAGAGAATTTCAATAACTGGGAGGCGAATGTTAATTCTTACGTTCACCTCCAGAAGATCCTACCTGAGGAACAAGTCCTCATTGCCTTTCACGCCCTTAAGGATGCAGCGTTTAGCTTCGCCCAATCGCTTGCCCGTGCCGCTAAGTGTGAGAATGACATGGTAGCCTATTCCATAATCACCCCCCTAAACGAATTTTTCAGATTACTCCTCAAGCGGTTTGCAGACGTCACTAGGGGAATTAAAGCCTCTGACAAGCTGCAAACCATCCACTCATGTCAATGGGGGAGTGTCAGGGCATCAAAGGAGTAATGGACAAATTAGTCGCCATCCCA